GTAAAAAAGCAATTTGAACCAAAAAAAATCGTTCAATAAAATCATTGAAAAAGCAGTTTATTATTTCAAAGCAAATTATTCTTATTTCCAGGTAAACGAGGTTAAAAATACTTAAAACAAAGACTTTTTACATTCGACGATGGTTTATTCAATTTAGTATTAGTTCTTTGTTTTCGATGATAGTTTATTTAATTTATTATAAGTTCTTTGTAAATTTATTATTATATTTCTTGATTGATTAAGTTATTATTTATCTAATTATTCATTTATCTAGATTTAAATTTAATTGTTTATAATTATTATAAATATCAAATTATACACCCCTATGGATGGAATAAAAAATTGCAGTACCAATCGTAAAACAAGGGGAAAAGTTACAAAAGAGCACATTGAAATGCTTAAGCATTTAATTGAGAGAAATCAATTTACAACAAGGATTTCCACTTCTCTTAACTTATCGAAGCGTGCACTTCAAAATTTTGTCGTTAAGTTAAACAGAGGATTATTCGACGATATGACTGCATTCAAGTCGTTTTCTATGAGCGTTTGAGTTTTCTTGAAATAGTAGACTGAGAAAATGTTAAAGCTTGCTGCAGAATGATATTTTTTTTATTGCTTCTTGCGTGCAAAGATTGTTTTCTTGTACGTATAATTCAATAATATTTTTTATTTGAGAGTTTATTGGTCGTCTACCTCGTTTTTTATCAGAAAACGACTTGAATGCAGTCATGTCGTCGAATTATCCTCTGTTTAACTTAACGAAAAAATTTTGAAGTGCGCGCTTCGATAAGTTAAGAGAAGTGGAAATGCTTGTTGTAAATTGATTTCTCTCAATTAAATGCTTAAGCATTTTCAATGTGCTCTTTTGTAACTTTTCCCCTTGTTTTACGATTGGTACTGCTATTTTTTATTCCATCCATAGGGGTGTATAATTTGATATTAATAATAATTATAAATAATTAAATTTAAATCTAGATAAATGAATAATTAGATAAATAATAACTTAATCAATCAAGAAATATAATAATAAATTTACAAAGAACTAATAATAAATTAAATAAACTATCATCGAAAACAAAGAACTAATACTAAATTAAATAAACCGTTGTCGAATATAAAAAGTCTTCGTTTTAAGTATTTTTAACCTCGTTTACCTGGAAATAAGAATAATTTGTTTTGGAAAAATAAACTGTTTTTTCAAAACAAATTGCTTAAATGATATTTTTTTGTTCAAATTGCTTTTTTACAATTGCTTTTGTAAAACGCATATAAGAATGAATAAAGGCGCATATAAAAATGAATAAATGCGCATATAAGAATGAATAAAGGCGCATATAAAAATGAATAAATGCGCATATATAAATGAATAAAGGCGCAGATAAAAATGAATAGACGCACATATAAAAATGAATAACCCTGTAATTTAGTATTAGTTCTTTGTAATTTTATTATTAAATTTCTTGATTGATTAAGTTATTATTTATCTAATTATTCATTTATCTCGATTTAAATTTACTTATTTATAATTATTATTAATATCAAATTATACATGCTTATGTTTGTATATGCGTCAACCACCCATAAAATCTCTAATATAATTTAATATAAACGATAAATACGCTTTTAAATTTTTATATAGACATATTTAAATTATATTTAAGAAATGGTTGCCGAGCCAGCGCTTGATTTATATAACTACGCATATGGTTGTAAAATGGAACTATATTAAACTCTGTAGTATTTATAATATTTTTAAGTTTCCTGATTACCTCATCCGTATTTCGAGGCCTTTCTCCCTGTTTGTAAGTATGTTTTAAAGAAGAAAAAAATTCTTCTATTGGATTAAGCTGTGGCGTGTAAGCTGGCAGATACTTAATAGCTATACCATCAGAAGCTAGTGTTTGCCTAACAGAAAGACTCCAGTGGAATTTACAATTGTCCATAACAAGCACCGGCACTTCCACATTTGCATTCCTAATCGCTGGTGCCATCATTGTAGTTATGAAAGTACAAAATGAATCTGCATTCCAGCCTCCAGTTTTTGTTTCATAAGCAAGCACTCCCATTGTTGAAACAGCACAAATTAAACTAACATTCTTGCCACGATTTGCAGGCGACTGTAAAATTGCTGGCGCACCTCTTAGCGAATAACCATATGTGCTGTTAGTGTGCACATTAAATCCAGTTTCATCCAAATAAATAAGTTTTTCATCTGAAATTCCGTTAATTTCGCTTGCAAATGCATAGCGTGCATTAATAATTCGTGTTGAATTTCGTTCTTCTGGCACATGCACAACACGTTTTCTTGATAAATCCGAGCGTTTGAGTTTTCTTGAAATAGTAGGCTGAGACATGTTGAAGCCTGCTGCAGAAAGATTTTCTTTTATTGTTTCTTGCGTGCAAAGATTGTTTTCTTGTACGCATAATTCGATAATATTTTTTATTTGAGCGTTTATAGGTCTTTCACCTCGTTTTTTATCAGAAGACGACTTGAATGCAGTCATGTCGTCGAACTCTCCTCTGTTTAACTTAACGACAAGATTTTGAACTGTGCGCCTCGATAAATTAAGAGAAGTGGAAATGCTGGTTGTAGATTGATTTCTTTCAACTAAATGTTTAAGCATTTCAATGTGCTCTTTTGTAACATTTTCCCTTGTTTTGCGATTATTTTCTATTCCATCCATAGGGTAAAAATTTGATATTAATAATTTTAAATAATTAAATAATAAATCTAGAAAAATAAATAATTAGATAAAAAATAACTTAATCAATCAAGAAATTTAATACAATAATACAATTTAATATAATGTAATAAAATTAAACTAAAAACTAATACTAAGTTAAATAAACCATCATCGAATGTAAAAAGTCTTCGTCTTATAAGTATTTTTAAACTCGTTTACCAGGAAATAAGAAAAAATTTGCTTTGAAATAATAAACTGTTTTATCAATGATTTTATTAAATGATTTTTTTTGGTTCAAATTGTTTTTTTACAATTGTTTTTGTAAATCACATAAAAATGAATAAATGCGCATATAAGAATGAATAAATGCGCATATAAGAATGAATAAAGGCGCATATAAAAATAAATAAATGCGCATATAAAAATGAATAAAGGCGCATATAAAAATGAATAAATGCGCATATAAGAATAAATAAAGGCGCATATAAAAATGAATAGGTGCGCATATAAGAATAAATAACCCTGTAAATAATTATTGCGGTGTAATTTATGTAATTATTGCGGTAAAACAAAAAATACAACTTTTTGAACAGTTTCCAAGCTCCTTTTTAGAGATACTCTTAGTCAAGTTTTTTCTAGACTTTTTAACTACAAAAAGTACATTTTAAAGATGATCTTCGTCTCTAGTTGCTGAAATAAATCTTTAATGAGCTTAACGTTTCTTTCTGTACATCATAAACAGACATGTTTTTGATCCATGCAATAAAATCTAGCAACTGAGAATGGTTAAAAACATCTATATAATTAAGACTATTATTGAGCCATTCTTTTATACTTGTTCTTGGAATTTTAAAATGTTTAAAGAGAAGGTAGCTCTCCCCAAAATCAACTCAGGTAGCTCTGTGGTCACTCCAATTTGTACATTTGATTTTACAACGCTGAAATTCATTCAGCTCTTTAAACTCAATCTAAAAAAAAAGCTAATAGCTTTTTTAGCTTTGTTTTAGAAGGAACTTCTTTATCCCCAAAGGACAAAACACAGAGTTGCGGAGTTAAGTACTACGTATGGCGTCCCATGCTGAGAAACAAAGCATTTCCAATATTCTTACTGACTTTTCTCAATGCATAGGCTGTCTGGATAGCTTTGAAATCATTGCAGGGAGCCAGAAATCCTAAAAACTTTTTCAAAAACCATGGAACATAGCAAATTGCAATGAACAGAATTGCATCCTTCAACTGCAGCAATTGTTTTTCTGTCAAGATATTACTGCGAAGCCAACTTTTTAAGATTCGAATTTAAATGAAATTTAAAAGACGAATTTAGATCAGCGTATTTAGATCAGCTTATTTAGCGAATTTAACTGAAAGACGAATTTGGACTTCTTAACCGAAACTAACTGAAAGCCAAATTTGGATTTTAGAAACACATTTAATTAAAAAAGAAATTTTTTTAAATTTTTATGTTAAATATAAAAAAAAGCAAGCGCTCTAACCGCGATTGTTGTATAATCATTTTTTATAAACTAAAGTTATTATTTTTTTTTAATAACTTTATAGTTATTATTAAAAAATAATTTGTAATTAACCATTATTTAAAATATGATATAGAACAAGTGAAGCCAAGTAAACTTTAATATATACGCTCACAAAAAACAATTTGCGATAAAAAATCTAAAAATTCAGTAATAATGAAAATTTAAGTTATGGAATCTTTACAACTCTCAATGTTTTTGAACGAACATGAACAAAAAAACTTTTACAACGTTTATTGAAAAATTTTGATTGTCAAATTTATAAAGGAAAAAGATCGTTAAGGAAATAAGATTAAACATTCACCTGTTTTTTACCTTTAGGATTTTTTAAAAGCGATAAATAAGATTTAATAATTGATGAATTTAATTTGATGATTTAATAAATGATGACTTTGTGGCTAAAAAAGACTTTTCGAAAATTGTCTCTGTAAGACATTTATTTCCAACAAATATATATATTTTTTTTTACCGAACTTATGTTCCCCAGGTCAAGTGGGCCACTTTAGTCGGCTACTTCTTTTATTAGTTTCAACCCTCTCTCAACTCTTTAGCTCCGAAACACTTTTCGGAGTTAAAGAGTTGAAAAAATTGTAATGGGGTTAAAGAGTTGCAACCAATAGAAACATTGAAAATTGTTGGTTGTAACCAATAAAAAAACAAAAAAAACAGGTTGATATACATAAAACATATAATTTATTTATAATTCTTTTTCTTTATAAATTGAAAAAAACTTTATAGCTTTCGAATTTAACTGAAAGTTTAATGAAATTTTGAAATTGTTACCAAATTCAACTGAAAGCCGAATTTCTATTTTAACTTCGGCACCGAAGTCAAAGCCGATGTCAGCATCGCCTTTCAGTAATCTAAATTTTAAAGAATATTCGCCGGTCCTTATTACTGATATCTTTAGTCATATAAAGAGTCAGAATTAAATTGCATCTGCTAAAAACCATGCTTTAACCTCGTGTTAGGCGCCAGGTTGGTGGAACTTAAAATCTTGTACTTTCAGACCAAGGAAGAAGGAGGCAAGCTTACAAACTATACCATAATCATTCTTTGAAAACACTATATCAGTAGTTGCATTAGTCAAAAATGTTTAAGCTTCCTCTGCAACAGTGTGAAGAACAGAGCTAATCTTCAGATCTTCTCTTTGCCAGTCCATTTTACATAAATTTTTCACTTCATTAACTTTCTCAAAGATTTCAGGCCACTTGTTCTTTAGCTTGACATAAAGAGCTCTTCTTGGACCTTTAGTTTTTTCACCACTAAGAGCAGCCATATAGTGAGATACATGTACTTTATACATATGTCTTCTACACACTATCCAAAAGATTAGTAATTTTAAAATATCTGTAAGAATTTGGACTGCTCCATTGACTCCGCCTGTATTGCTTGCAGTTTTATCACAGCATATACCAATGATCTGCTCTTTACATCTATAATATTCTAAAAGATTGTGCACTTGTTCTGCTTAGTCATCTTCCTTTAAAGAGGATCAACTCTCTTTGAAGAGGGACATTGAACAACATCTAAAAGATGGTCTTCCATGGTATTGTCATCCGGGGAACTCCCTGAGACTGCAAGTTGCACAGTTTTTTGAAGAATGTTAAGCCAAGTGGTAATTTTTTCCAACAGTTTGGTATCAAAATGAAGAAAATGCCGTCGCTCTTTAAGATGATTAGTTATTGAAATCCACTCCAAGTCTCCTTCAAGTTCTACATATTTGAACTTTTTTCTAAGAAGTGTGCTTCGTAAAAACGGTATATTATTAATTTCTATACCTCCAGCTTTAAATACTTTACTTAAAATTGCCAGATGATGTCGTACACCAACATTGAACCTTGTTGCTGGAATAGCAGTACATTCAATGAGCTTTTCAACATTCACTGCTAGATTTATCATATCTCTAAAATTGTATCTAGGTGTCATTTTATAATATTTTACTACCTATTTATAATTATATACTTTTCAATAAAACAGTTTTAGCTTGTGAAAATTACAACTATATTGTTAAAATAATACTATACCTGCGTTTCCGACCGTTACCCAGAAAATCTTCTTCCTCCCTATTGAATCTCTTCTGTCATGGAGTCATGTGAAAATAAAAGTTCATTGATATCTTTTAAGTTTTTCTGTCTCTCTAATTCTTTCTCTCTCAATTTATCTAGCTTGTTATTTCTCCTGTTTGCATCCAGTACTCTCCTATTGTAGTCTTCATCGACTTTTGTTGCCATATATCCTTTCCTATTCAACTTCTGGTCTTCATAAAAACTAAGAAATATTTAAATCTATTAAGACATTTATAAATAAATTAATAATTGTTCTAATTTTTCTTGGAAGATGATCAAACTATGGAAAGAGTTAAACGTAAATATTTTAAAGGAAATAATTTGCTTAATTTAATTAATTAACATAATTAACATAATTTAACTTAAGTTGCTTTAAATCAGAAAAAAAATCTTACTACTAAAAAAAGTATTTAATGAACTTACTTTATTTCTTCCAGCTTGACATCATCTGTTCTCAATCTATCAGCAGAATATTTTTTCAAAATCCTTAGTTGAGATGTCATAAATCTGATAAGATTCTGTGAGAAAACCTTTCTCTAACTTTGATTTCTTATCAAGGCTGCTGCTTCAGTTTAGAGAAGACAATTTAATCAATTTCTTGTATTTTAAATTAAGTTTAATGATTTCGGTTTTTATATTGTACCCAGAAATCGCAAATTTTTTGCCAAACCCAGCATTATTGTAAATTTTTTAATCCCAGTTACCAAGCAAGAATTATCAGGATCTGTACAAACACCACTTTCACAAACAAGATCCTGGGATTTCGATTTCCATTTGCAACCAATATTAGTAGAAGTGGGTTTGTATTTAACCTATGACTCGCGAAGGATAAATTGATAGTATTTTAGAACATCACCATTAGATGGAAGCTGTCTCTGAGGTAAATTCCTCAGTGGGAAAATATATCTCAACCTTTCTGTATTTTTTCGTTTTTTCTTATTCTATACTATCATCTTCTTTTTTTTAGCTGTTCTACCCATTTTTATATGAACTTCAAAATAATCAGTTTTTTAACTAAATTTATACTAAATTTTCCACTTGCATCAAAAATCTATAAAGTTATTATTCCCGCTCGTAACATTTTATCTAAGTTTACCGTTACGGCTTTTATAACCGTTTATACGAGAATTTCTTCTTTCCTTCAAAAAAACATTCTAAACAGAGTTATTTGTAAACCAATCCATGGGGAATTTATAAATTGTCCAGAGGGAATTTTATCAATCGCTAACAATGTTCATAGAAAATGATGCTAATCTTTAATAATGTCCAATGGGAATTATTTGTGTATTATTACATCATATTAAAACGTATTGAAATTCTAGATGGCGTTGTTTTTATGTAAATACACATATGTGTGTTTTATGTAAATACGCATATGTACACAACCGTAAAACTCAGAATTTACTTCTATTATTTTTAGTCATTAAAAAATTAAAAAAAAGATTTTGATAGGACCTATATAATGGGAATCAGTTGAGAGCACATTGAAATTTTAAAAAAAAGTGTGCTTGTGGGACACCCTATATATATATATATATATATATATATATATATATATATATATATATATATATATATATATATATATATATATATATATATATATATATATATATATATATATATATATATATATATATATATACATCAAGGTGTCCCAGGAAAAAAAAATTTGATTTTAGTATTCTGCACAATGTCAATCCTCCTTATTTGGTCCCAGTGAACCACCACAAAAATATCTGGACTCAAAGTCATTGTTAAGCTGAAGAAGGTGTTTTAGAAAAAAGTTTCATATACATTTTAATGATTAAAACTCGGCAAATATATTTAGAAACAGGAGAAATAAGTTTTTATTAAATAATTAGTTATTAGGATGTTAAAAAACAGAAGCAGTATATATTGTATACTGCTACTTAATTCTAATTTGAGTAATATAAATTTAATTAATTAATGACAATTTTTACATATATATGTAAAATATAACATAAAAGTATTTTGTGATTCTGTTGTATCTTTTAATTCTGTTGTATTTTATAATAGAAAATAAAAAATATTGAATATGGCTAGTGCAAGACAATGTTGAAAAACCTAGTGAAGAAATCTGTTGGGTACCCTTTTTAAATATTTTCTACAAATAGACTTCCAACCGGTGGGGAAGATTGTCACAGAGTAACTGGATTAACCGGAATCATGCAACTGAAATCAAAACATTATCATCTAAAAATGGATGTCCTCTGGGGAGTAAAGTCAAGCTTAAATGCAGTGGTAGTATGTGTTATGCTGATAGCAGAAACGAAATATCAAATGTGTGAATCATAAGGGAGCTGATTAACATTCAAAAACAAGACAAACTTTGATGAAAATTTTAATATCAGTAAACGGTCGTAAGTAAGTGACTAAATATAAAAATCTTTTGTCATAAAAATTAAGTATTTTGTCAAACATATTTATCTGTGAAATATATTTACATATAAGTTTTTTTGCTAAATTTTAAAATGTTGACATTTTTTTAATGTTGTAACTTTTTAATTTAGGAATAAAATGATTGCTCTTTTTATCCATTTTATTAAATTTTTATAGATGAGAACCCTGGAGATGAGCAAACAAACCATGAGCCAACACACTCAAGTGTTCCTATACAAAGTTAATGCTCTGTTTCTTTTACACAAGGAAGACATTTTCAAGTTAATAAACTAGGATCCTAGAAGGGGTAATAAGGCTGTAAAAAGAGGATTCAATTTTTTTGAAAAGATGTTTGAAAGGCGACATGATCAAGATTTTCTACAAAAATGACAAAACATTTGCTGAAATAGTTGTTGAAGGTGAGGAAAGGATGAAAAATGTTAGATAATTTAAAAAATGACAACGCTCTGTTTTTGTTTTTAGGTATCAAGTTAGCGTGAAAGCTGAAACAGCAATGTTGTTTTCCCTAATCCAAGCTGAGGGAATAGATATTGACATGTTGAACATTTTTAAGTTGCAGATAGCAAGAAAAAACCGTGAAATTATAGAGAATGAAGCACTTTTAATAAGAGAGAAGAACCTGAATAAGATAAGGGGTTTAAAACTTGTTGTTCACTTTGACACAAAATTGGTTATATAGTATAGGACGGAGGTCAAAATTTTGTTAATTAAAAAAGTTGTCAATTAGTGTTTCCTCTCCAGAGACTAGCTCACTTAAATTTCTTCTGGGAATACTTGAAGTATCCTCCTCCAAAGGGAAATATCAAGCACTGGCTATCCAAATTCTTGTAGAATTTAATGACTTAACAGACCATATCATAGCTTGTTGTGCTGACACAACTCGCTCAAACACTAGAAAACATAATGGTGCAATTAGAAATATTGCAGTTTATTCTCTACCTTGTCCAATTCTTTGGCTAATGTGCAGGTATGATGCTTTACTATATAAATTAAAGGCATTTTTTTTTGAGAGTAATGACAGAAAATGATAATAATGATAAATTTAGGCACCATATAATGGAACAACATGTTCATCATATTATGATTGAATTACAGGGAGAAACAAAGTGACCCAGTCAATCCTTATACAAAAACATCAAAATCTTTGGCCTAAGATTGGAAAAGGTATGAATACATTGGTGAACATTGAAAAATTTGATTGAAACATACCTGAGTTTGCTTTTGGAACCCTCTTTAAAAATCTTGCAAATGAAACAACGCAGTTCTGAACAACAGCTCTTAAAACAATAATTTTTGACAGAGGTAATTACAAGTATTTATGTCAACTAGTAGCATTTTACCTCAGGGTAGATTTACTGAACTTCAGGTTTTTACAACCAGGTGCACATCACGAGGCAAAATTTATGGCTGATTCATTGTAGATGTTAGCAATACAAATGACCAAGAATTACAACAAGCAACTCAGTATCAATGAGATTAAGACAATACAGGATGCAACAGATTATATAGTGATCTTTCACTGTTTGTTCTTACTGAAGAACCCAATGGTAGCTCAGGCTCCATCCAATGATATCAGAGCATTCAAGATTTCATCACAAATTATAACAGATCCACTTTACTCCAAGAAGTACAATAAAATTGGCAGAGCTCTTAATGTTAGTATTCTCAGACACAATTTCTAATTTGAGTAATATAAATTTAATTACTTAATGACAAATACACTTAGTAATTTACACTTCAGTTATCTTTGCATTTAGAGCTTAGAGGAGAAAAAGAGGAAAGAAATATTCTTGTGGAATTGTTAAAATATGATATTTCAGAGATGTAGAACTTTGAAAAAGACCAACCAGAACTTTTTACACAAGTCTGTCTTCTCTCAAAGCTATCACGCTTTGTTTCTTATCTCTTTTTTTTTCCATATGGGTATAACCAAAGGTTCTCTCATGGAAAAAAGAAGGAATGTCAAATTTGGAGAAAAATCTCAACAATAAATCTTTCAAAACATTTGTGTCCAGTGTATATCAAATAGCAGTTGTTATTGATAGGACTGAAAGACAAATCAAATTGGTGCAAGATTTCATTGGAAAGACACATTCCGAAGAGAGTCTTAAAGACACAATGATGGTGGTTTGAGACAACTGGCAGAAGGTGCCTCAATGTGCCACTAAACAAGACTATTGGCTATATTTTTGTTTTTGAAATATATTTTTTCCAACGAAAGTTTAATAATTCTTGCACCACCTAATTTGTTTTTGTATTCCGTAGTATTTTATTTTAAAAAACATTTTAAAACAATCAAATTATAATAAAAAATAAAATAATTATGAAATTTTTTCAAAGTTGCAGTAAATATAGCAGTCAAAATTAATGAATTAGATGATTAACTTTTTAATTAGGTTAATTTAATGATTTTATAAAAATATTGAATGGTAAGGAAATTTCAATCGATAAATTGAAAAAAAACTCGTTAAAATTTATATGCAAGCTTTTTCTAAAACACTTTCTTCAGCTAAACAGTAATTTTGTGCCCAGATAATTTTATAGTGGTCTACTGGGACCAAATAAGGAGGATTTTATACATACTTTTTTCAGACAAATTTAAACATACTTTTTTTCAGACAACATTGAAATTTTAAAATATAAGCAATCTAAAATTTTAAATTTTTACAGCATGCAAATCACATATATTTGTGTTTTGCATGCTGTAAAAACTCAAAACTTGAAAAGCAGTCATCTCACTAAAATGTGCTAAAAAAGGAAAACTTAATGATTTTTATCTCGGACGTAATAGTACATATATAATGGCCTGATTTGATTTCTCAAATTTTTGGAGAAATCAAACTATTACTGAGAGTTTTGGTCATTTTTTATGAAACTCTGTTTAAAGTTGTACAGATTGTGGCTTTGTAATTCTTTTGTTACTAATCAAACATATTTTTTTCTATGTAAATTTTTCTCTCTCAAAAATATATCATTCCTAAAAGATGAATTTTTTTGAATTTCTTCTCAATTTTAGTAATTAGAGATATATTTTTGTAGTACAGTTAACTCTCGATATCTCGAACTCTCAAGGACTGGAAAAAAGTTCGAGATATCGTGAGTTCGAGACATTGTGTGAATTTTGGCTCAAAATGAATGCGCAAGGTACCGGAAATAAAGTTCGAAACACAAAATTTCGAGATATCGAGTAGTCGAGATATCGAGAGTCAACTGTAGTTATTTTAGCACAGCCAGTGCCCTGAGCCAGTGACGTCGCTGGAGTTGGTTTCATCTAGTGCGGTAAAATTTTAGTGTCACCCCTCTACACCCCTCAAAAATAGGGTCGACAAAACAGGTTTTGAATTTCTGGAAAAAAAAGTTAAAGTATACAAAAATGCAATCTTTTGATCTTGAATAAAAGACGAAAGATTTTAGTGTGAAATGAAGAAATACCAGAATTATTAATAAAAAATATCGAAAAATCAAAACCTAAAACTATTGGTTGGCCAAATGCAAAAATAAATTAACACAAGCATAAGTAATTCTGTCATATTTGTATTTTTTATTTTGGTGTCTTCCCTCTGTTTCAGGTTGTGATGGTGTCACCCAAAGCGGCCCGCACTTCCTAGTGACAGCACTGCCCTGAGCAAGATTCCTAATGCTCCCTTTAACTCAATTTAAACCTGTACAAAAAAAGGTAGAAGATATTATGAAATAACAAACTATTACAAAAGTTTATTCATTTATTAAAAAAACTAAAAATATTTTCCTAGTATTTCCAACAAATTTTTTAATTTTGCTATCTAAGTATCTTTAATTAGGTTATCTAAGTCAATTTTAAGGAATTTAAATTTCGAATTAAGATGTTATCGTTAAAGATGCTAATTTTATCAACCTAGATTGATATATTGTTGATTGTAAAAATTTCTCTTCTCATTAGCAACAGTAATAGGTATTGTAATTACATTATACAATATATTAATAGTTTGGGAAATAAAAAAGATTCACAGTTAAAGTACTCAGTTAATTTCAATTGGAAGTTAAAAGTATGGAAAGGAACTATCAATATTTGTCTTCTTCTTGACCTTGTCATCTTTATACATTTTAATACACGAAACTTGTAACTGTTATATGAACAACTAAATAATAAATAACAACTTTTTATCAAATATATTACGCACATTTGGTCCGTTCATAAAGTAGAAACTCAACTGGATGGCAAATGACAAATTGATAATGGACCAAATATGCTAAATGCATTATTTTAGTGGTCAAAAACCATTTTCAAATAATGTTTTTTTAATGAATTTGGGGTAAAAACAATTTTTATGTTTAGATTTATAAACGCACTGAAATTAATTTGGGTGGAATGCTCCGGTAACTTTACCGTTACCGGTAACTTTACCGTTACCGTGATCTCTCTTTGGAATATATAATATATACTTTTGAAATTTGTAGAGATTTGATACTGTTAATGCTTGTTTGAACTTATTTAAGGTTCTGACGACAAGATCCTTTGATCTTCTTTCAGATACCTTATTTTATATTTGTGAAAGTTTATTATTATCATTAATTTTTTTTTTGGCAATATATAGTTGTAATACGACCAACAAATGTAAAATTATAAAAAAAAAAAAAATTGTTGAACTCTGGTTTGAACAAATGCTATTTGTTTTATCTATAATGTGGACACTCTGGTAAAGAGTTGCTAGTAGTATGCAGAACAGTTTAGTAGCTTTATTGGGTGGAAATTCTCTCTTCTTGTACTTTGTCCACAGCAAATGTGATTTGCTCTTTGTTTATGGTTTTCTTTTTTCTTTGCATGCAAGTTCTTTTGAGGTATTTTTTTTTATCATAGAATAGATCTAATAATAATCAATTGAAAATATATACGAAGACTTTATTGAGATTCAATTGGCAGTTTAGATATAATTAATTAATAAAAACTCTATACGTCAGCAATCAAATAATATCTATTTGCTCACCCTCTACATATGATATATTTAGAGGGTGAGGTCATTTTTTTATAATTTTACATCGACAAGTTATCAGTATTAACTCCACCAGCCTTGTTAAGAGACACATACTCGGCCTGACTTCAAACCCAATATCTGGTCATAATTGGAATCCAAATTATTAGAATGTCTTCCATATTTAACTGAAAGCAAACTTTGATGTTACTCTGAAACCTTTTCAGTTTTTTCTTGAAATTAGCTGGAGGTAAATATAGTTTGTCGCATTCAGTTTTATTGTCACTATCTTGAAAAGATGTCGCATTCAGTTTTATTGTCACGTGCTTGAAAAGTCACCGCCGAAGTTACTTTCTCTTTTTTTATTTTTACCTTCATGTCTTTAGATTTTTTCAGACTTCTCATCTTAATTATTTTTTTTTTGTGCCCTATGAGTATTTTCACAAAATTTATTGTCCATATTCCCGAATTCGACCATATCCCCTCTCAGACAAAAAAATAAATAAATAAAAGTAAATTCGCCTAAATAACCTTTCCCTTGAGTTAGAAACTTATTTTTTTTTTGTTTTATTTATTTTTTCTGAATCCTTAGACTAGGAGTAATCACGTTTGTCTATTTATTTTATTTCTTTATAAATATGGTTTAAATATATATTCTGTAGATACTGTTAGTCAATTTGTGTATAATTGATTCATTAATTAATCAAAAGCAAAAGAATAAATATTGTTATAACTATTTCATTATGTTCTCTAATTTATTCTATTATGTTATATCTATTTTAACGCTTAATGACTGAATAACTAACTAACTTAGCTGAATAACAAACACAAGATTATCATTGTTTACATTCATAATGAATACTGCATAGCTTGTTTTAACATTGGTTTTTTATTTAAATTGCAACTTACATATTCTAAAGTAAAATATCTAAAAAGTTTGAAATAATTGTTTACTAAACTAATGTCTATAATACGCACTTTTAAGATAACCTTGAATTATGGTACATTTAAATGAATATAGCCTTGAACTAAATTAACTCGCTTTCAATTAGGAATCAATGTTGCACAACTTTTATTCGAATTTTTAAAATAGCTAACTGTGCGAGTTTTTAAAATTCTTCTTTAAAAGTACTTTTAATATCTGTAAAAAATTACGTCACTAATTTAAATTTGTCAATGTTGCGCAACCTATTCTAATTGAAGCGAGGCTTTTTAAAAGAAACGTGATAATCGAAACTTCCAGATTAAACTTTCTTGAGATATGTTCAAGCGATAATGCCTCAATAACCCCATACACTAGTATCTAAAGGGCTGCCACTTTCGGTCGTTTATTTAACAGAAAAATTATTTACAACTGTTTTCATCAAGGTTCAGTTGAAGTTAAATAAAGAAAATGGTAGTTGACACCAAGCTTTACGATTTACTAGAGGTCTCACCAAATGCATCAATTAACGATATAAAAAAGGTTGGTGGTTTTATAATGTTTTTTAAATACAACTACTAAACTAACTGAAAACTGATCAAAAGAAGTGATAAAATGTTTTGATCCCTAAATCACAAAAGTTTTCAACGTAACTGGTACTGTTTAACTAATTAGGAAAAAATTTAAAACTAAAATTTTAACATTTAGAAGACACTTTAAAAGAGCTCTAATAATCATAATAATATTAGTAAAAAGTAAAATTGTAAACAGTAAACAAAAACAGCAACAAACGTTTTTGATAAAAGTCTGAAAGTGAGTAGCAAAAACTTTTTCACTGATATTTAATGATTAAATGAAAAAATTATGAATTAATCGTTGAAAAGAATTTGAAAAAAATATTTCAAAACTGAAAATTTTATCAAAGTTTCAACAAAAAATTATAAGTATTGTGGTGACAAAATTTATTATAATAATTTCTTAAGATATTTTAGCAATTTATAATGTTTACATTATTTAAATCAACTTGATATTGTTAGTTAAAAGAAATGTACAATAACAATAATGTATTCTACAAAATAGAGAAACTTTGCGGCACTGAAATCCTGTGCCGCAAAGTTTACAAATATTAGAAAATACTATGAAATGTTAAATATATAACATTCCATAATTCATTAAATAATTGTATTATTTGGTAAACCATATTTTAATTTTAAGCTATTTGTAAAATGCATTCAGCATGACAACGAGTATGTTTTTATCTTATTTTTAATAATTCATTATATCTCAAAAAATATATCAAACACCACATAATTAAATTTACCTTTTTCAATTGACTTAAGAAAACTTTTTTTTAATTGATCAAAGGCAATTGGCAAAAACTTAAGAATCATAAAATTATTTAATAAGTATAAATCATCTAGTTTTTTTCCCCGCACTTCAATCTTTTGGAACTCTCTCCCATCTTCATGTTTTCCTGACTCATACAACCTTCAACTTTTCAAGTCTTCTGTCAACCGTTTCCTTGCTCTATAACTCTGTTCTTTTTTTTCCTAGTAACTCCCAACTTAATGGTGGTTGCTTGCAGCCTTGTTGGGAGTGAATGCAAATAAAAAAAAAAAAAAATGGTTAAACAAGTAATAAGTATAAATAAGATTTTATTAAAAAATAAGTAATCATAAGCATATTGTTGAGTTACTCTAAATATAATAAATATAATATAACAAATATAATAACTTCTAAATAGCGCATGTTTTTAAGCACAAACTATACTCTATTAATACTGGAATTATTTAAGGTGCTTATTTGATTTATCAGGGTGCGACAAATCGATGAACGTTTGTTAAAAAAAGTCAGAAAAATTAACACCGCATTTCTTTACTTATGCAAGTTTTATAAAAAACATTTATAAAAAAAATTAGTTACTAAAATTTAAAATACATTTTAAAAATTTTGAGGACTTCATATTGTTAAGTTACTCTAAATAGCGCATATTTTTGAGCACAAATTATACTCTATTAATAATGAAATTATTTAAGGTGCTTATTTGATGCACCAGGGTGCAACAATTCAATGAACGTTTCTTAAAAAAAAGTCAGAAAAAATAACACTGTTTCTTTACTTATGCAAGGCTTTTAAAAAACATACTTATAATAAAAAACAATTAGTTACTAAAATTTAAAATGCATTTTAAAGACTTTAAAAGAAACCATGCAAAATGATTACTTTCTAAAATTTTATTTTACTTAAAAGTAACAGTGTTACTTTTAAGTAAAATAAATACGCTATTGAAGAAAGTAGCTTTGTTTTAGCATGGTTTTTGCATGTGTTAACAAAAGAATGAAAATTTTTACTTAAAATGAATACGTTTGCAATTACTTTAAAAGAAACTATGCCTAAACATGATTGTTTTCTGTAGTGCACTTTTTAAAATTTTTTTTTTTTCCTGAAAATAAATTAATGTTTGTTTGCATATTAAAAAAACTTTTAAAAGTTTTAAAAAGAATTTTTTAAGTTTTGCTGAAATATATATAATCTAATAGAATATATAAAGTTATTATGTTTATTGCAAGGGTTGAATTAACGCATCGCGATTTGCGATATCTGTTAAATTATCTGGTCTTCAAAGTTTCAGTTTATGGAAAACCACGAAATTTACGGAATAGGCGAATAAACTTTAATTTGTTTGTGAAAATGTTATGAAAAACAAAACATTAAATTTATGACTACAAAAGTATTAATACTACAGTGTTGTTACTTTTATAACACTCTTTTATGTTACATTTATAGTTTATTGTTTGATCAAACAACACATAATCAAGATATTATAAATAAAAATGATTTAGTTAAGTAATTCCAAACTTTAATTATCTTGAAAAAATACAATGGATATTTAAACAATGTTAAAAACCTCAGCAACTTTTACGAATACATATATTTATAAACAGTTTAGCATTTTTAAACATCTTACTAACAGTCCGGAAAAAATGCGCGTTCACTTTAAAATCAACCAATAAAAAAACTGGTAATTTACTTCTTAGGAGAAATCTATATTAAAAGGGGAGGGGGGAGGAGGCTATAAACTTAAATTTTGTTTTATTATTTAATCAATTAAATCATAATAAAAGTAAAGACAAAAAAATATATTTCTAAATATACTTCTTTATAACTAAAATTTATTAAATTGAACACCTCTGTGTTTAGTTTTAAGTAAATGTCAGTACTACTCTCAGTGGCGAAACTGCGGGGGAGGGTTTAATCAAACAATAAACTATAAATGTAACATAAAAGAGTGTTAAAAAAGTAACAACACTGTAGTATTATTACTTTTGTAGTCATAAATTTATTGTTTTGTTTTTCATAACATTTTCACTAACAAATTAAAGTTTATTCGCCTATTCCGTAAATTTCGTGTCTTTCCATAAACTGAAACTTTGAAGACCAGATAATTTAACAGATATCGCAAATCGCGATGCGTTAATTCAACCCTTGTATTGTAGTTTTCATTTTTTATTGTGCATTAATAGTATGATATTTTATCAGTAAGTTATTAAAGGGAATCCCAAGCGCCAAGACAAGTTATATTTATTTTGTAAATAAATATTAGAAATTAAGTTTTGAGTTAATTAAAATTACCAAAACAATTAATCTACTAAGACTTTTAACAAAATAAAAATTGTAAATAAACCAAGATTGCCACTCTTCTACTTTGTTTTATTTTTATTTTAATTAACATATTTTGTTTTTAACTAATGTGATATCAAATGTATTTTCACTATTTCTTACTATATCTACACAAAAAATTTACATATCTTAAATTTATAGCACTAATATTAGTTTTGTTTTTAAAATAAATAAATATAAGTTAGACTTTTAATTACTTATTGATTGTATTATTTTTATTTGGTTATTATATGTTTTATAAAGGATTTTATATAAAGGCATTCCTTTACATAAAAATTAATTGCAATTAGGAAAACCTAAGTAAAACGTTTATAACTCCAATTTTATTTTCTCGCATACAAGAAAAATGCATGCGATTTTGTAAGCTGAACACGTTCACGCCGGCGTGTATCACCAGTGGTACACACTAGACTGTCTCATTGGGCGGCGTGTACCACCGGTGGTACACGCCGCCCAATGAGACAGTCTAGTGTGTACCACCAGTAGTACACGCCGCCCAATGAGACAGTCTAGTGTGTACCACCGGTGGTACACGCCGGCATGAACGTGTTAAGCATGTTTTGAAGCCTAGCAAAATTGTTTGAATTAGCATGTCATAAAATTCTCCTTATTTTTTTTAGCTTTTAAAGACAAACTTTTTTAAATTACTGCAATAATATTAATTACTGCAAAACAAGTTAAATAATATTTAACTCGATTTTTATTATTACTATTAGGAAATGTTTATTTTCTTTATTTTTTTTTATATATTAAATAGTTAATTTTAATATTAAATTTTAAAATTTTTTTGATATAAAAAAATTGTTTTTCTTGACATTTGTATAAATGAATTTAAATATGTTAACTTTTTTAAAATGATTATTTCTCAAATAATCATTTTAACAAATTTGCAACTTAAAATGATTTTTTATATAAAAAAAAATCAGCCTGTAACAAATAAAAAAAATTGCAAGTCAATATTATTTTTCCAAACACCATTTGTAAAAGATGTAACTTTTTGTTGTATATATGATTTATTAGATAATAATTGCTGTGCTCTACTTGCGTTATAAAAACAAAAAGTTCAACTTGCATTTTGTGCAAATTTGTGATACAGCCTCAGAACACGTTTATTTAAAATTTAATTTTGAGTAAAAAAAAAAATGTTTAGGAAAGAAAACCGAAAAAACAATTGCATTAAATTAAGCTAATTTTTTTTAAAGAAAAATTTTAAAATTTAACTATTAATCATTATTTAGTAATATTTTAAAATAAATTTAACAGTTAAATTAAACCCAATCATCAATTTTAATTTTAATAAACTTAAATATATTTTTCTTAATCAGAATTAATATACATATATATTTTAAATCAAAATTATATTATATACTTCTTTAATTTAATAAAAATTATACATTTTTATTAAATGAAATCATATATTTTTTATCAAAATTAAATTATATTATAATCCGTTCGTATTAAAAAAAATTGTCTTTAATAATAAACAATTTTGTTTTCTGTTACTAAATATTTTGATAAAATATTTAGCTTGATAGAGATTAAGTTTTAATTTTGTTTGAGTTTTTTTCATGAAAAAATTGCGCTTCTATCTAACATAATTGTCATTTAAACTATTTTAACAAACTTTTTTACATAATCGTCATTCAAAAGTTAATGTGGTTTTTTATCTTACCGCTTATAAAATTATTTAAAAAGTAAAAAAGATAAAAAGTTACTTAATGGAAATTACTTTAGGTGTACTTAATGTTTATGTAAATTGCAAAAAACTTAAAAAACAAAGTATAAAATAGGAAAAACTTTCTATATAAACTATTTATTTATTGACGTAATGAACATTTAATTTCAAAAAACTCAATTTTTTG